CCTTGATGTTTTGGGTCCCCAGTTTGGGTCCCGACCCCAACTTTGGGAAACACTGGTCTAGACTTTTTCTTTGGTCTGTGGTCGAAGACGTTCCCAAAGTTTGATGTAAATTTTGAAAAGTGAAGGAAGATGAGGCTGTTTGTTCTTTGTAAACAGTTTTCAGCACAGATGTGTTTTTTTTTTCTTCCTCTGTTGAACTTCAGACTTTAAAAGGAACCGAGCTTGTTGCTGTTTCTCGTCTCGATCAACCGAAGCAGAAGATCTGAGCTGTATTTGCTCCACAACGAGCAGCTTTCTAATTTCAGTTTTTTTTTAACGCCCTGAAGGGAAATAATGAAAAGCAGCTGAGCGGGCGGAGGGACCTCTGGCAGCTCCGGGATGAATGTTTACATCCTGTTGAGCCGCCGGGGCCGTGGCGGGTCGCCGCCCCGGCTCAGACCAGGACTACCCCGGGTCGGCAGGATGTGTGGGCTGGAGGTTCCAGCGTGTCTCAGTTGTGCATGTTTGCACTTGTACGATTAAAAACACACACAGAGTTTTGATAAAAGGGATCCTCCAGGCCTCGCAGCTCTGCGTGGGCGAGGAGCTAAATTTACTCCKGAAACAAGTGCAAAAAGAGAGGAAGCAGGAAAACAGGGTCACCGTGTCTGAATTACTCAACACTGACTCAGATTTTTATTTTATTTTTTTTAGTTTTAGTGGAACTCCGGTGACTAAAACGTGACGCAGTTACAGAAACATTCAGGACGTGCGGTGGAGGAGACACCAACATGTTGGAGTAAAAAAGGCTTTTTAACACCGTCTTCCTGCTCCGTCCTTCGTCCCTGCAGAGGAGCTGCAGTCAAACCTGAAAACTGCTGTAAGAGAAAGAAAGAGGCCTCCCTATTGTCAGCGATCCTCCAGGAGCCAGGAGCCAACCGGGCTCAGGTTGCAGCTCTGAAAAGCTAACAGGAAATTGACGAACGGCTAATCCGCTCTTTAACCACCGGGGACGACAAAAAGGTGCATTCCAGCGCAAAGAAAAGCACAACGAGCAGATGCACAACTGGAAAAGTACCGCCAGAAAAAGAGAAAACAAGTCTCTTCCCTTCCGCTCGGGCGTTTAAAATTAGCTTCAAGTCTGAGGATTATTTGGGGCAGAGGCTCGTGTCAACCGAAAGGCCGACTTCCTGTTTGCCTTTGAGCAAAGCTCTGAATCCGGAGGTCCCGGTTCTGTCGCACACAGAACCGGGACCCGCTGGACTCCGCTCGTCACCAGGAGCTGCAGAAACCTGGAGGTGATCCACTCAAAACATGAAACGCAGGTCCGCACTCAGTGTAAACAAAGCGTTTCTCTGCAGCCGTTTTATCACCAAATCTGTTGGTTTTCTGCCTAAAAATATTCTGATCCGATCAATAAACCTGATTTAATGAAGAAAATTTATATAATTTAAATTAACCTGATGCAAAAACAACCATTTGAACATTGAAAACTAAGAGTTAAAGGTTTGAGTTGGGTTCAGGTCCCAAAAAAAAAAAAAAAAAACCAGTCAGGATGKGAGAAACGACATCAACCAGCTGAGCTGAAACAAGTTCTTCACTCCAACGTTCATCTGAAGAAACAGAAATCAACATTATTGCTTCAGATCTCTTTGTGAAAATGAATGAAACCTTGTTGTTTTGGGGTCGTCGGCTTATTTGAGGTGTAAAAAAAAAAACTGCACCTGTTCTCTGTTTTTATCACGTCGGGCAAAACAAAAACAAAAGTCCTAAATAAAGACCCTGTCACACTGTGACGTTAAGACAACTTACGAAACATTTCATGTCTAAATTACTAATAAAAGTTATATATTTGATCAGTTTGTTAGCATTACATTACGTTTAAACGCCATCTTGAACATTTTTTACATTTTTAAAAGTTGTCTGAACGTTACAGAGCGACAGGAACTTAACGACGATAAATCTTACGATTTTTGTCTCCAGAAGCTCAAAAGAAGCTGTTTGACTGAGAAGAATCGACTCGTTTTTTCATGTTTGCGACCAACGCGCTCAGCTCCGCTGCTCATCACACAAATGCATGATCCTTGCTAATGTGGCACCGTTTAAAAAGGAGAATTTTCCAGCCTTTTTCAAACGGGACAAGATTTACTGCAAAAGCAGCTTCGCTACAAAGAAAGKCTCTAACAAACGCTAACGTCTTTACTTTTTTTGGTGCAAAGCTAACTGATTATTTTGCTGTGGTCCTTTGCCTTTATCCTGCGTTATTTACTAGTAATTTTAAGGTTTTTATATTTTCTGCTTCTTTCTGCAAACAAATRTGAAACTTTGCAGCCGTTTTTTTTTTAATTGAAGCCCACGTTATTGTTTTTGGATGAGAACCAAACGATGAACCTGTCAGCTGGTGGCCCAGAGTTGGACTTAAAAGTGATAAATTCTTGAACAAAAAGAGACGACCAAACGAGGGGGGGTTTGGGTTTGTTCCCCCCCACAGCCCGTCGTTGGTTTTAGTGCAGGAACTGTGCCATAAAAGCAAAGCATTGATAGTTCTGGTTTATTATCTTTGAACAGGTGGCTCCGGCTCCTGACGGGCGACTCCAGGCTAATGCTAACGGCTAACGGCCTGTTTGAACTTCAAGCTAACGGAGGAGAATCGCAGCAAAGAAACCCTGGAAAAAATGTAAACCTTTTTTTTTTAAAACCGTTTTCTTTTTTTGCTGCAGATGTTTTTTTTTTTTTTTTCTGCTTCTTTGCCAGAAATTCCACTCCCAGCATGAAGGCAGACACCAAACTGGGATTTTTCTGTTGGGTCAAACCCGAGGAAAAACAGACCCTCATTAGCTCCGACATCAGCTCCTCTCAGCGGGGCAATCAAGACACCACACGGCTCCGTTGTTTTTCATTAATTAATATATTTTTCTGCATTAAAGTTAACATAGTTTTCTTTGTGCCACCCTTTAATTTTTTTTCAGTAAGTATTTGATATTTTGTTATATTCAGACATGAGTAAATTTTAAGACTGTCTCTTGCAATAAATATCATAAAATAATAGAGCTTCACATAATAAATATTTTTTTACAACAACAAAAAAATGTTTTAACAGACATTTTTTTTTCTTTTCTTTTTTTTTGAAAAATAGCCAAAATTCCTCTTATGGAGCTTAAAGTTTACACAAAATAAAATAAAATAAAAAGGGAGAATGCCACAGCGTGAAGGAGAAACATATCCGAGTGGAGAATACTACGAGATGAACGGGCTTCTTGTTAAAAAAAACAAAACAAAAAAAAAAACACCAGAAGAACCAGAAAGTGAAAGAAACCTGCTTGTTAKGAACACCAGGTAACAGCTACATCACGGCCTGAAGAGATCGTCCTTCACAGATTTGGTGTGAGGCAGAAAAACTGCCTAAAACAAAGAAAAAAACGGAAGAAAACTCATTTATATATTCATGTATATAAAAATAGTGTTAATGAGGAGCTGAGGACAGGATTAAGGCAAACACTGGTCTGTAAAAACGGTCCTGATCCAGAAGGGAAATAAAAATAAAAAGAATCGAGTGGTTTTCCTTTCGCTTTAGCTCCGAACTGTTCTGCAGCCTGGAGAGAGGGTCGAGGCGGGAGGTGCTTATTGTTTCATAAACATGGATTTGTATTTTTTTCTCCTGTGCAGAAGCAGAATCAGGAGGGCTTGTCCCGGTTCTGTTGGGCCCAGCTCTCCAGTTTGCAGTAAACGGTGTTGGAGTTCTTGCAGCGGCAGCCGGGCCTGCGGACCCGGTCGTAGCAGCCCTGGCCCGCCTTCAGGCAGCCCTTGACGGGCGGGTAGCACAGCAGGCAGGGGAAGAGTACCGACATTAATCCCATGCACAGGAAGCGGGAGCAGCAGTGGGAGCGCGACAGCGAGCAGGGGTGGTCCGCGCACGAGTCGCCCTCGTCGTCGTCGCTGGAGCAGTGGTAGAAGAGGCCCTTCACCAGGCACATGCACGTGCCGTGCTCCAGCGCGCTCTCCGCCGAGCACAGGCACTGGCCGTTGCAGGCCAGGCAGGAGGGCAGGCTCCGCGGCGCCGTGCACTCGCCGCACTTACACTTCCCGCAGCGCTCGCAGATGAACTGGTGCCCGGCGGAGGCGGGGCCCGGGAAGTCCGCTTTGCCCTGGTGGGGCTTGAGCGGCGCCTCCGGCGGGGGCTGAGGGGGGATCTGAGACAGGCTTTTGGGTTTCGGTTGAGTCCGGACGGGCCGGTCCGCTCTGGCGGGCRGGGAGCGGGTCAGGAGTCCCTTCTCGGAGGAGGCGCTGCTGTTGYTGCCCGAGCTGGCGGCGCTGCCCGTGCTGGTGGACCGGCTGAGGCCGGGCGCACGRGACCCGCCGCCCCCGAGCCCCAGCACCCGGCGCTCGTAGTTGTTGTTCACGTTGACGAGGATGACCTCGTGGGTCCGCTCCTGCTTGTCCTGGGGCCTGGGGGCCGTGCGGGGCGCGGGAGGCCGCCGCGCCACCGAGGGCCCCTCCGTGTACTCGTTGCTGGAGCGGATGGCCTTGATCTGCTCCAGGGACAGGATGGCGGCGTGCTCCAGCTCCAGCCTCTGCCGCCGCTCCAGGGACGGCTGCTGGATCACCACCAACGGACCGCCGGGGCCATGCTGACTTTGGAGCTCCATCTGGGGGGGGGATCACCACTGCCGACAGTCACCGTGGACGTGCATCGGAAAACCTGCCGGAGGCGGGAGGAGACAAAGGAGAGACGTGATCAGAGCAACGGTCACACGACTCCGAAACACTTCTTCTAACTTTAATAAAACAAAATGTTTTTAAATCAGCTGTGATTCAACCAGGGAGAAGTTGACCATTAACCAGACTTTTCGTGCCCCCCCCCCCCCCTGCTCAGGACGCACATCCAGACCTGACTGGGGGCCCTACAAGTACTTCCCCTCCTCATTTCCATTTCTATGACTCGTTAACATTTAAATGCAGCGAGGCGACGGAACGAGGACACGATCCAAGAGAGCTAAATGAGCTGCCTCACTTAGTATTCTGTTACAACACCGAGGAAGGTCACAGCAGACGGGGGGGGGGGGGGGGGGGGGGGGTGTCCACAAACACCCCGCATCGGTGCCATCATGGACGGAAGTGTTTACAACTAAAAGAGTAAAGCTGAAGCCTGAAGGCATTTATTGTTTTTATTCAGCCAAATTCAGATTTACGCACGCGTCCGATAAAGGAACTAAACGCACAAAAAACGCAAATTTTAGCGGCTTTTATCGCCTCAATCTGCATCAAACGAGTTCATTTCCTTTGGGGAGGTTGAAATGAGCAACACGAGCAAGAAACTCGAAAGTAATAATAATAAAAACAAGAGATAAAAGAGTCAGAGATGAGGACGCGTTTAAAAACACAGGAAACTTATGAATGAAAGCAGCCGCGCCGCGGGGGGAGGGGCGTTTGTTCCTGCTCAGCCACGGAGCGACGCACGGGGCAGCGAGACCCATCAACTGCAGGGTCGCCACGAACCCGAACCTCCGCGGGCTGAGAGGAAGAAGAAGAAGAAGAAAAAACACCCAGAAAGCGGAAAGTCCGCAGCTTTTCAGTGCGCCAAAAACACACAGAGGGCGACAAGAACTGACGCAAAGTTGAAGCAAACACGGAATAAAAAGGTGCTAAAGTGCGCTCACCTAAACACAATCATCCACAGTGTCGAATCCATCCAACAAGTTCAACAAAACTCCATCCGAACAGGGAAAGTYTGGCGCAGATTATGCGGCGAAAAGCATGGTTCAGATTATTAATCCAGACTCGAGGTTATTCCTTTGGAGGTTTTTCAGGTTTTGACGCGCGCGCGTCCCCAGATCTGTAAATCCACGGAGCTCCAGGAGCTGCTGCTGCTGCTGCTGCAGACAAAAACCAGCAACAAGAATCAAAAATAAAAATATAGATCCAAGAGTTCCTCCGAGCCGCGGCTGTGCTCCGGCGGGTCTGCTCAGGGAGAGGAGGAAGAGGAGGAGGAGGAAGATGTGGGTAAAAAAAAGTGCGTCCGCGGGTCAGACGGTGCGCGCGGCTCTGCGGGCCTCCTCTGCTCTGAATGAATGGGAAGGCAGCGCGCAGTGTTTGCTCCACAAGCCCACTCCCATTGGCCATTCACGCCACTGAAAAAGGATACATCGCATCCGCTCCTGATTCATTGGGCAGATGTTGGAAGGCCGGCCCGACCACGACGTGCGCGCGCCTCTTAAGGTGGAACGGCTTTTCCGCTTTTCTGCGTCGGAGCAGAGAGCGGGTGGGTGGTGGTGGTGGTGGTGGGGGGACTGGTTTCCGCTCCTCTGAGTTATGAATGATAGTCTGAGGTTTATGTGACTAATGATGACGCAATCAACTCCCTGTTTAATTTATCACAGGCTGATTTATTCTCATAAACTATTTCTTTTTTTATAAACTGTCCTTAAACATGAAATACAAATAAATAAACTTTAATTATAACTCATTTAATCTGAAACACTGACGGTTATCAGTTATCAACTTCAGTGTTCTTCATAAGCACCAATAACAAACAATAACTGAGCTCTACCTGGTATTTACTGCATAGAAACAGTGTTTTAAGACATCCTCTTAAACACTGAACACTACCATGTGTACGACTGGCTACATGTGAAATAAAAGTACTAAGTAGGAGAGTTTTACTCACTGTTGAGTCGCCATCTTGAATTTTGAACTCTCCCACTTTCCAACAAGGAATTCCCACTGGTTCCGCTTTAAATGTGCAGCGTAAGAGGAAAATTCCCACTTCTCAACTGGGAAGTACAATTGTCAAAAACGCCAAAAAAAAAAATGGAGATTTTACTTGTCGAATTTGACCTTGAACCATGTGCAGCTCCATCTAGTGGTGGGCTGTCGTCGTTAACTTTATAAACTGTCCTTTAACATGAAATACAAATAAATAAACTTTAATTATAACTCATTTAATCGGAAACACTGACAGTTATCAGTTATCAACGTCAATGTTCTTCATAAACACCAACAACAAACAATAACTGAGCTCTACCTKGTATTTMCTGCATAGAAACAGTGTTTTAACACGTCCTCAGAACTACGTGTACGACAGAGTAAATGTGAAATAAATAAAACAGAAGTACTAAGTAGGAGAGTTTTACTCACTGTTGAGTCGCCATCTTGAATTTTGAACTCTCCCACTTTCCAACAAGGAATTCCCACTGGTTCCTCCTTAAATGTACGGCATACGCGGAAAATTCCCACTTCCCAAATGAGAWGTACAATTGTCAAAAATGCCACAAAATGGAGATTTCACTTGTCAAATTTGACCTTGAACTATGTGCAGCTCCATCTAGTGGTGGGCTGTCGTCGTTAATGGTTTATTTTTTTTAAACTGTCCTTTAACATGAAATACAAATAATAAAACTTTAATAAATTATAACCCATTTAAGCTTGAATCTAAACTCAGAGGTGTAAACTCGTTTTCACTGAGGGCCATCAGTTATTGATGTCAATGTTCTTCATTAGCACTGCTAACAAACACTGAGCTCTACCTGGTATTTTCTGCATAGAAACAGCGTTTTAACACATCCTCTTATAAACACTGAAAAGTGCTACATGTACGACTGAGTAAATGTAAAATTAAACAGAAATACTATTACAATTATAGAGTTATACTCACTGTTGAGTCGTGGCGAGCAGCTGCCATATTGAATTCTGAACTCTCCCACTTTCCAACAGGGAATTCCCATGGGAAGAGTTTAAATGTGTGGAAAATTCCCACTTCCCACCTGGGCCGCAGCAAAAATAGCTGACGAAAACACGGCAAAATTGAGATTTTACACGTCGAATTTTGTCTTGAATCCCGTGCAGCTCCACCTAGTGGTGGGSTGTTGTCATTTTACTGGTAAAATAATCAACGTGCATTATGGGAGATGTAGTTTTTGGTGCTGGCTTTAAAGCAGCTTGTTTTCTTATCTTTCACCTTYTAAATKTATTTATTTTGTTGCACTGAATCATTAGCTCAGCTAAAAAGTTTTTAAATAAGGCTCATTGGTGGACCGGATGAAAGTCACCCACGTGTCACATTTGGCCCGTGGGCCTTCAGTTTGACACAATCCACTTAAAGGTTTTTATTGCAAACTACGAAATAAAATAAATGATTTAAAAAAGACAAATATTATATACAGGCCTGCACTTAATGTAAACAAAGCATCAGAATCTGGAGTCATGCTGACCTACACGAGTCTGTGCAGAAAAACAAATATTAACTTTAATGTTTGAACTGTTTTCTGACTTCATAAACAAACTTTAGAATACATTCATAATAGATTTGCTTGGTTTTCTTGAGATTAAAGCTCAAAACCTTCAAGTTACATTTAAAACAGTTAATGTTAGTGTGTTTATATTTATATTAAAAACATATTTTACAGGAGGTTTCACTGATGAACTTATTTAAACTCTCTAAGAGGCGAACACGGTTTCCCTCCTAATATGGAGGTTTGAACTTGACCAAAAGTTCAGTCTGCATTTATTTATTTTATTTAAAAAAATAAATCTTTATTTGGAGCTGTGAGCCTGAGCGGACAGCTGAACGTTCAGAGGATTCAGAGGAAGAAAAAAAAAAGAGAGAAAAACATCAACAGGATGTCTTCTGTCCTCCCGGGAATGTTCCCATTACGTCTCCAAATATGTGCTGGTGGGCTTTATTACGCATCACGTGCGCGCGGACTGATCCGGACCACCTTAAGAAGAACCAGGCAGGAGGGCGGGGGCGTGTAGAAGGGGGGGACTCCTCGTTCCCCCACCCCCTCCTCTCTTCCTGACTGTCTGCTTTGATTGGTGTCGCGGATGCGCCGCATCCGGATCCATGAGAAAAGGAAGTTCAATACAAAGTCAATTTATCCTTTTCAAATGGAAAAATCAATAGAGTGAGCCCCCCGAGACCACCTCGGGTCAGCACAGGCTTTAAAAAGAGAGAGAGAGAGAGACTCACAGATGATTTGTTTTCCTGGATCCGGCCTGTTGGTGATAAAATAAATGATGTGACAGATGGCCGCCTGGATCCTGCTCTTAGTGGTCGGACGTGTGGACGGAAATCTCACGATTACAGCAATCAGTCCCTTTTTTTCTCCATGGATGAGATGAATTTACCAGCAGGGACTGGTTTTCTCCCCAGCAGCAGCTCATCAACCTGCAGGAACCCAGATAGGTTTAAAATGTTACATTTAAAGAAATTCAAGTTTTTTTTTTCCCTAAATGAAAACTGGAAACCAATTCTGTAATTATTACTTTTTCTCTGGGTTCAAAAGTTTATTTTAAATTGCATTCAGACGAAAGGTAGAGCCGAACTAATGCCTGGTTCACATCACAATGTTTTAAATCAGTGGTTCTCAAACTTTTTTATCTTCTGACCCACAAAATATTCATGGCAAAAACTTGTGACCCCAAATATTAC